CACACACACACACACACACACACACACACACACACACACACACACACACACACACACACAGAGAGAGAGAGAGCTCCACGACAGATAGTATTAAGTACATTTTGCACAGTTTCACTGTTATTTTCCAGTGTTTAGTTGTTACAATGGTACATTTGTCCTTTTCTACATCCTTACAGCTTTATTAATCCTTCTGTGTTTCTTTACATTTGTCTGTTCTGGTTTGAGATAACATGAGGGTTTGATAAAGTGATGTTTCGTCAAATCTCTGCAGCAGAATACAATTACATTATTTGTGTAGATAATCAAATATATCACCTTTGTGTGGAGTCAGTATGGTTCATATTTATGTTGTACTCAGTTGTATAGTTTGTTACTTGTTCTCAAAGTGAAGCACAAAACATCTCATGTTAAATCAGAATTTCTGCCTAATCCCTGTACATCTGTGTGTTTCCTGTGCTGGTAGGTTGTCTCCCAGTGTCCGGATCCTGACATCTCTCTTTGTGATCCTGGGGGTGTTTGTGGTGACCACGGTGCTGGTGAAGGTGGACGTGTCAGACAGCAGGATGGAGTTCTTTGTCGGGACACTGATCAGCGTGGCTATTGTCAGTGGGGCCTCCAACCTCTTCTCTGGCAGCGTGTTTGGCATCAGTGGACATTTCCCCATGAGGATCTCTCAGGCTCTTATATCAGGTACTGTCCTCATTCAGGTCAGGAATGTCTCTTGTTGACACTGTTTTGGGTATTGTAGTATTTACACAGCACTATAGTAAAAATACTTTTTTGTGTTATCTTGATAACCACAGAATATGTGCTGTAGAGGCCTCAGAACACAAAACAAGTGCTAGTGCTGGTTCAGACCTGTGCTAACTTTTTAAGAAGCTGTTTAGAACAAGCTTAGAGTCACATCATTACGTCACTGATTTCCCAGTGGGTGATTGTTTGGGTGATTTATCATTTCATTGCTGATATAATGTTTCTACACATTATTAACACTGATCGGCACATAATGTTCAATACTTTCCTCAAATGGGTCAAATCTTTCTTCATAACTGCGCACATTCATTCATTTATTCAGTTTTTCTGGCCAAGAGCCAGTTCTTTGGCTGTTGAGACACAAAGAACTGATTCCAGACAAGCCACTAGCTCTGAACTGGCCCTGGGACGGCCTTTGTGGAAAAGGGAAATAAATGATCCAGTTTTTGGAGCACTGATTTAAACATTTGCATATTCATGCAACACTGATTTCATCATTAACCATCTCTATTACCTCAACCTTTAGGTTGAATGCAGTGTTTTCTTTAGTGGCAAATGATCAATTAATGGTTTTAATTTTATTCAAAGCAACACTATACAACTTTTACCTTAAAATCCCAGCCTCATAATGTGCTTGATGGTTCACTTATTTGGAATAGAGAGAAGGGTGCAGCTTTCATTCAATTCAAATGTCAGAGTGAGAGCCTCTTGAGTTTCTGCAGACCGGCTAGTAAAAAGTTAGCAGAAAGTTATAAGGATTCAATGTGAGAACACAGCAGTAGATCCTCTGAGTGAGCGAGTGGACGTGTTGTTTCTAACAACAGACGCAAAAACCTAAAGACAATCTTTTGTCTTTGATGAAAAAGCAGGTCAATTAAAACCAGCGTTCATTTCCAATATTCAGCAAGGAACCTTTGAAATAATCAAACAGAGTCAATCACCTTGTGTGGCTGTCGCTCAGTAAAACCTACATAGTGTTGCTTTAGCGTAGACCGTTTGGTAGTTGAATGTTCTATCCTTAAATGACTGCACAATAAGCTGAGTCTTATTTTTTTCATAGGTCAGGCGATGGGCGGCACGCTGAGTGCAGTAGCAGCAGTGATGGACCTGGCGCTCACGAAGGATGTGACAGACAGCGCTCTGGCCTATTTCCTGACAGCTGACGTCTTCATTCTGCTCTGTATCATCACATATCTGCTGTTGCCAAAACTGGCATATTCAAGGTCAGAAGCAGACAAAGACATTGTGGGTCCTGTATGGATGAATATTTTCACATACCAAATCTGCCACGTGTCATTTTGCATACTACCACCAGATGGTGCCAGAGCTAGAAAAGTTCAAATCTGAAACACAGTGGGTTTAAATTGGTTCAAAATAACTAAATATTTAAGATTTACATGCATCAGTTATTTTGTATGCCAATTTAAAATTTTCAGCTACTGTGTAAAACTTCCTAATTTACTATTTAGGTCAGGAGCAATGCACATAATAGACACAATTCTATTTTCATTTTTCTGATGTATTTCACATGATGAAATTGAAGTAATTTGAAGTTTTACCTGTCCTTTGAATCAGAGTAATAATGACCTTATGATAACAGTACTGTAAGACGACATGATCAATACATCTTGTTTTTAAAATGATTCTTTACATTAAGAGCATTCAAAGCTGTGTTGCAGCCTAATTCTGTTAAAACTTCACAGATAAAATTCAGAAAGACATCCCACTCTTTTATGCCACTTCTTTCCCCTATAGACATTACATGCTGGCAGCAACATGCACCAGTGCAGGAGTGAGGACAGAAGATGGAGGTGACGGCTCAGTGAGCAGAGTCTCTACCCCACCACTGCGTCCCATCCTGAGGAAGACGTGGGTGCTGGGCTTCAGTGTCTTCTACGTCTTCTGCATCTCTATAATGGTGTTTCCTGCAGTATCCTCAGGGATCCAGTCTGTCAACAAGGACAGCGGCAGCCCCTGGACAACCACTTACTTTGTGCCTCTCACCAGTTTCCTCCTGTACAATGTAGCAGACTTCTGCGGCAGGCAGGCCACCGCCTGGCTGCAAGTCCCAGGCCCCACCAGCCGAATCCTGCCGGTGCTGGTGCTGTGTCGCACCATCATGGTCCCACTTATCATGTTTTGTAACTACCAGCCAAGGGACCAAATTCACACAGTGCTATTCACACATGATGCTTTTCCTGTGCTGTTTAATTGCATGTTAGGCCTCTCCAATGGCTACTTAGGAACTCTACCAATGATCTATGGACCTAAGGTGGTCCCTCGGGAGCTGGCAGAGGCCACAGGAGTGGTCATGTCCTTCTTCCTCACTCTGGGACTGGCTGTTGGATCTGCATTCTCTGTGCTCATCGTGCACTGCATCTGATCATGCTGTGAGGCAATGACCCTGTCACGTACAGTGGATTAACATAGCAGGACAGATGAGGTAGTTTGCCCACTGCTTATGAAAAACCAGGACCTCAAAGCAAAGCACATCAGTACAGCCGGTGTGTTATGAGGGAAAAACTTCTGATAAGCTTCTCATTGCCCCTCTTGTCTAGAAAGCCTTTTTCTAGACAAGAGGTTTAAACTGATGTAGCTCATAATGAGCTATAGGGGCCGAGCCTACATCTCTCTATGTTTGAAATGAGGAAATGGCTCCTAGAGTTGCAATCTATGCAGTCCATAAGGGACAATTCATTAAACAAACATTTCCTTTTATATGACATTTCGTATCGGTTGTACAGATATTTCAAGGAGAAAATTTGGGATAGATGTTTTGCAGGGGGTGTTAAATGTTATAGTTCAAAATAAATTAACAAACTTGCCAGTGGTAAAGAAACACCACCTCTTACTGAGGGACACAGGTGGAAAATGTGGCAAGTGTGCTCACTAAACAGGATGTGGATTTGTCTGTAACTTTTGTAACTGAACTTGATCACACATTATAAACTGAACATTTCCAGTAACTTGTGGATTTACTTGATCATGCATTATAAACGGAACATTTCCATTAAGTTGTGGATTTCAGTTATTTTTAAATGATCACGTTAGCTTCAAGTGACAAGTAAAGCATTTTGTGTAGCTTGGGCTAAAAGTAGCACTTCAACTGCTCAAACTGGTGTTTTTAAATCACAAACTCACAGATGACACATGGTCATTCTCCTGTAGTTAAATGGAGGAAATCAAATGACTTCCTGGGGAAGTTAACCCAGACACCAAGTCAGCTGTATTTGCAGTTTATGGAGCCCCTCAAATATCAAAAGTTAAGTGGGGTTGTTTAGTGTTGTATTGACTATGGAGTTGTTCTTTACATGACTTGATGGTTTGTGGAAATGGCCATTGTATAATAAGGAACCAGATTGATTCATTTTAAAAATACATGACTAAATTCAGTTTACAGTAAAGTAAAATAGACTGAAGTTTATTGGGATCATTTTAATTGTTAAAATGTACAGATCAATTGACAGTGTGCTCAGGGTTTAAAGCAGACAAATCAAATTTCAGATGTTTTGTACGTTAGAGATGCAGTGATTTACAAACAGTAGGAAGAGTGCAAACAATGGGAGGCACAATCTCAGACTTATCACCTCCACCTCAGCTCCTTTAAACAAAATCTAACCTATTTTGTCTACGAAATAGAAATTTGTTTCAAAGATCAGACATCCTACTTAAAGTAATGCCAGTCATTAACACACTGAGCCATCTCTCCTATTTGCAGTGAGTGGTTTCACCAGGGCAAAGAATCAGAATGGGGGTCGGAAGACGAGCAGGACGGCAGCCATCTGATGCGTCGTCAACATTATACAACACTTGAAAAAACTACAAAAACAAACAAGCAATGTAGGGAAATATAACAACTTAAATGTGCTCAGTGAGGCAATGACAGGCTTGAGCTGCAGGCCATTATACACAAATCACTCCTTCCCTGTCCCCCACCCCGAAAAAAAAAAAAAAAAGGTCCAGTCCCTTTCCTCCATGACATCATTGAAAATATCAAAGTTAAGTTGAAACAGAAGTCATTTAAGTCTGTTAAAAAAGTAATGGGACAAAAATTAAAACTGGGAAGCAGCACTACCATATTGTTTCTTTTCAATTCCCTACAGATGAATCTGTGCTTCTTCCTCTATACCCACACATGACGTTTGCAGTGAGCCACAGCCTGAAAGACAGAAAGAAGCGGTTGGGATGTGCTCATTAAAAGAAAACATGTATCTTTATAGTTTACATGAATGGATATGAAATTATGATTGTTCATATCCTCAAAACAGGCTTCAAGAGCACCCCACCGGAGACATATTTTGGTGTCCGAAAAGAACTTAAATTACTCACATTGCACCGAGATGCTGTCTCCATGTTTTTGCACCAGAATGCAGGTCCCCAGCTGCACTGCTCTGTTCCCAGCAGCCTGTGCACAGCTTCAGGACAGGCTCCTAGTTTCTGTTAGACACACACAAGTCAAATATTAAACCAGGCTGCAGGGACGCAGTGTAAGCTGAATATCAAATTTACTGTCTATTCCCAATAATACATGGGGGGGGGAAGACACTATAATAGTAAGGACAACCTTAAATTCCCCTTCACAATGAAGATTATGCAACACTTTTTTCATGAATAAATATATATATATTTACCATGCAAACAAACTCTGGGTCAAGCATCTGGAGCAGCAGCTGGACAAGCATTGGCTCATACTGTACAATCATCTGGTCACACTGTAGACAGACCCAACAACACAGGGGTTAATATAAGTCTGTCACCTGAGGATGGGTAAAAGTTACACAATCTAAGAAGGTGCAACTTCTCACCTCAGTCTTGAAAGAGTCAGGCAGGAAGCTGCACACTTTCCTCACTGCCTCCTTTATCTGTTCCTCTGTAGCGTTCTTCTCCAGAATCTTATCGATGTAGGTAATGGCCGTCTCGCACACCTTGCAGTAGCCTCCTGCCTTGAAGCGAATCTGGTCAAGTGCAGCTGGAAACAATTCAAACAGAAATCAGTGTTGTGTTACATATGTGGGGAAAAACTTTGGGTTTAAAAGAGGTAAATGAAAAGTGATGATACAATAAGATCTCGATAAGATCTCTGTGCTGCCAGCAAAGCCATTGTTGTATTCAGCTTTTACTTAACAGGTTCAGTGTGTAGAATTTGGTGAAATCTAGTGGTGAAGTTGCATGTTGCATCTAAATACCCCTCCCCTCACACTCTCCTTCCAAACATGAGAGAACCTGTGGTTTTTGTCATAAAAATTCAAATGATGCTTAGCTTGTCCAGTCCGGGCTATTATAAAAAACATGGCAGCCTCCGTAGAGAGGACCCGCTCCCGATTTAAGTAAAAGGACCCATTCAAGCGCACATAAAACAATTTGTACAATTTTGATGAATACAAATGAGTGAAAACAACACTACGATTATTTTATATTTAATTTCTGCCTTTAAAGAGTGAAGACTTACGGACATATGCACGGCTGGCATCATTGCAGAGAGCCAGCACTGTGCAGACAGTCTTGGGGTCAGCCTGCTGCACCAGCAGCTCAATGATGGCCTGGCCGTAGGTCTCGATCAGGTCCTTACACTGGGCAGTCAGAGTGGAGGGCAGTATTGTGCACACCTTCTCCACAGCCTGAAGCACCTCCTCCTGAGACAAACACAGATGGGTCAGCTCAATAGCAGTGTCTGAACACCATTAGTCCCTTTACAGCAGTTTCTGTAATTATGGTAATGGATGCATTTTGTTGCATGTGTCGCACCTCTGTTTTCTGATCCTGCAACATTTCCTCCAGCTGCTTCATCACAAACTCACAGATGGCACATGTTGGGGATTCCTTGACACGCACCATTGGCTAGAACAAACAGAGGCAATGTCTCATGTGAGCGTGAAATACAGAGGTGAATTTTTTCTTCTATCAATAACTGCTGATATGTCAGTTCGCCATAACTTACAGACTTAGCAGACTCCATCTTTGTGGCGGGGACCATCTTGAGAGCAGGAACTGTCTTGGCCGTGGACACAGTCTTGGCTGCCTGAAGCTTCAGCATGGGAAAAGACTTCTTCAGAGCAGCAGTACAGAAGCCAGCGTGGACGCAGATATCCTTGGGTTGCTGAGGACAGAACCAGAAACATTAGGATACACGGCAAAAGGTCTGTAGGCTAAATAGGCCACAGTGCATGCTATCACCATAAACCATGTTTTTTTTAGTCTGCATATCACACCACATAATTACCACCCATGCAAACATCTATCTCAACCCCCCTCCAAAAAAAACACATCTCAATCAGTTTTCTTATAACTGTAACACACACACCTGAAATGTATGTTTCATTCTGCAGCTCAGAACTTAGTATTTAAGAAAGATTAGACATTTAAAACATGCTGTTTGTTATAGGCCCTTCATTGCATCACTCATTTAACCTATTCATCATTTAAGACAAAAGATCCAAGCATACTTTAACAATGACTGCATTGTGAGGGGATGTTAATGAGACCCTTTGCTGCAGTGTGATCCAACAAGCACTCATTAGCCAAATAAACAGTGTTCAGGTAAGGTCTAGTGATATCAGTCATAATTAGAGCATTGTTGCACATGCGCCTGTACTGTTTGAGGTGAGTAGCTCTAGTGGAGTGGACAGCACAAAAAGCCAGAGCTAGTTGTTAAGAGGCTATAGGCTGAACACAAAGGAGACCTACCTGTTCCTGGGGAGCAGCACACAACACCCAGAGCGGGATGGAAAAAAGAGCAAGACAACATGAATGGAGGGAGGACAGAAAAGAAGAAACACACATGAAAAAAGATAAGAAATTAAATATGAAGAGAAAGTAAGGAATCCAAAGAAATGAATAGATTCAGTGAGCAAGCCAAGGGGTGGTATGGGCTTAGGACCACCAACAATTACAACTTATCAATCATTAGCTTTGATGAACAGTTTAATTAGGTAATTATTCAATATTAGAATACACTGGCCATTCAGGTTAAAAGGGGACAAAAAAAATGTGTCTTTTACATCCTGAATTAGAAAAGTTAGAAGACTCACCATGGACATGAGCTGCTCAACAACAAGGGGGCCATAATTGGAGACATACTGCTTGCACTGCAATGAGAAAAACAGTTAATATACAGCATTTTGGGGACAGAAAATTGTTTTTAAAATCAAAAATGCTGAACTTGTTTGAGTCTTACTATTTCAGAGATGCCTGGCCCCAGCAGGTCACATTGGTTCTCAATATTCTCAATGAGACTGTCTGTAAAAGAGGAGTTGGCCTTGGCCTCGGCTTGAGCATCAGTCAGGAACTTGATGCAGTCTTGGCACACCTGATCGTTGTTCTACAAGAAACGCAAGATTCAGAGCAAAATGAATACAATGAACATAATGTCTGTGTGGATGCAGAGGAAAGTTATTTCATTACCTCTTTTGTATCCTCTTTGACCACCTCCTGCTTGGGACTCTCCTGAGGATAGAGGAGCCCGGGCACATTGAGGAGGAAAGGAACCACTGGCTGGGCAAGGTCGATCTGAGGGATTTCATTGGACGCAAGCTGCTGCTGGGCCTCAACCTTCGCCAGAGCTGCCTGCTGAGACTGACACAGCCCGATGAGAGCACACACGACGTTGGGATCCTCCTAAAGACAGAAAACATCATGTTTATTCAACAATTGGAACATTTTAATTGTCACTTTATAGGGAAGTGCTATCTGGAACAAATTGTCCCTTTTTGCTCCCATCATGGTTAGAGCAGGTGAAAGTTGAGACAAAGAAGCCTACACTAAATGGTCTCCCAGTCATGGGGTTTATACAATGACTCATCTGTTCCCCTTTAGACTTGGGATTCACTTCCCCATCAATAGCCCTCATTTAGCTCGCTGCACTTTTCCCTTTTTCATTGGGCAGATGGACCATTTAAGAGTCTTAGATGAGGCTGAACAATAAACTGACAAACAACCTTAATAAGACCTTGGGTTAAACATGGCTGTAGCTCATTTGTATGTGCTGAATATTGTTCTAAATTCAAACCTTGAATAAACAGTGATGGCAAAATTAAAAGGCTAATTTGTTGTGGCCTTAAACTAATTTATTATTTCAGCTAATTATTAGATTCAAGGACGCTCCAACAGTGACCATATTTAAAAAAAGAAAACAAAAACCACGCTATGGCTTGTTAATAGCTTGACAGTATTCACCAGTTCTCCAGTAAGAATTCCAATGATGATGGGATAATAGTCATCCAACATCTCCTTGCACTCAGCGGCCATTTTTTGATCAGGGATGAGCTGGCAGGCCTTCTCTAGGTACTCAAGGACCTCAGTCTGCAATCACAGATACAAACAGACATCAGTATTTCAAATTAGTTTTTAAATCTAGGTATAGTTAAGTAAAATCCCCCCCTCATCACACTGATTTTTGGTCTTTATCTTACCTCAGTGCCATTGTCCTTCAGTACCTGCTCCACCACTATCAATACCTCTTTACACAAGTCACATGGCACCGTTTTCTGAAAACACAATGAATGTGTAAAATAAATATGTATTTATCTCATATTTGTAAGTGTACAGAATATAATAATATAAAGATATAAAGAGCATGTGTGTTATGATAGTGACACATTTCAATATAGAATAAAATAAAAAATATTACAGTTTCTAGAATAAACATATAGATGGTGCTTGTCACGATCTTATAAAAGAAATAATAAAAACTTTAAAAATCTGTCTCACCAACTGAGGCTTGTTCCACACGTTCTGCTGGCAGTGAGTCACAGCTCCACACAAAGACGCCGTCTTTATATTCTGACACCAGTAGGGGGGGCCACGGGCACACTGCTCAGTGCCCAGCAGAGGTGTTGCTGCAACTGCAACATGGAAAAAAATATATGATTTCACACTCTTACCGCAGAGTTGAGAAAGCAGGTCACATGGTGAAACCATATTAAAGGAATATATATACAAATATTATACTAATACTAGATATTATTAATATAGTTTTTATTTAATGAATATATATTAATCTAGTTTTACCAAATGAACTCAGGGCTATGTCCGATTCAAGTTTTGTTTATTTAATATTTGAATTTTGCACTGAGGAGCCCAAATGTACAGACACTGACATAGCTGGAGATAAATGTTGTCTTTCTCATGCATGTCTTCCCAATTGGGAATTCTTCATTTTGACATTTCAATCAACAAACAAACTTGTCAGCCAACTATGAAATTATTAAAGACAGATTCAATCCTCTGCCATGGCAGTTTGTTCCAACCTCCCGAACCCAATCAAATACAGTTGTTGTTGTACTTGCTCTAAGAGGACAGAACTCCCTCAAGCATTGTGGGTAAATGGACTGCTTAACTGTTTTATAACTGTTATCAAGGAAAAACACTAAATCCTATGAGTTCAAACTGCTGAATAAAGTAGCATTAGCATATGATTTCTAGTCTGGCATCATTTCCCACCAGCCAGCAACAGCCAGATGTAACCAGTCCGCATAAAGCAGAACTATTGTTAACAGTTGCATTTGCAGTTCCACAAATGAAAAAGTGGTTCATCACAAAATACATTTTACTGAAGTGAAATGGTGAAGTGAAACCAACTACTCTTATCAGTGGTTAAGCTTTAGTAATTATGGTGGCCCAGCAAAGCACAAACCTTTGGTCCCTGAGCCCTGGGGGCCCCCCCCCCCCCCTCTCTCAGCACTCATACCAGTGCAGCCACAGTTCAGGCAGGGCACTCCCACCCTCCGACTTGAGTCACATGAGCAGTCAAACAAAATAACAAGCTGTTCCGCAAGAGACAGACTGTACCGATGAGGAGGACATTTCTGGATACTACCACTTCAGCTCTGTAGTCAACCACTTACAGTCAACAGGGAAGTACAGAGCAGGGGAAAAACTGCATTATGTTTCTGTTGTCACCTGTTTGATAAATAATTCAACTTTTATGACAGGAAAAAAAGGCATAAATTGGCATATTTTTATGTAACTTTCTTTGACCCTGAAACAGATTATACATTTAAGTGAATCAGTTTAATCTGACACGATGAAGAGCAAAAAGCTGTGCAGGTATGACTCAGTTTGCATTGTTCAAAAACAACATGTGACCCCGAAACTAGTTCAGTGCAAAAGGCCTCACACATCACTTTACCCCAACGACTTAAGATAAGTAGAGAACATACACAACCCTCCCCGATCAATATGTTTTAGTCCTGAAGCTTAACACAGGGAATCTTTAGTAATGTCTGCAGCAAACAGGAGCAAAGATCGTGGAAGTGCAAAGAATCCATCCACATGAATTTTTTTTAAACCAAAGTTCAAGATAAGGGCTAAATACACAAAGTCCTAATATGACTTGAAGGAACCAATATCACACAGCTTCAGCTCTAATTAAAAGCAAACAAAAAAAAGATGAGAGGGTGAGTGACTAACCGAACCGATTCTGGTCAAGAGAAAGGGAACAAAACTGAAAACACACCTTACAAGTTACTGATATTTAAGTGAAAAGCTAAACTCAAGGTTGATGTCTGAAGGGATTTACTTAACTTCTTGGAAACCAAACCAAGGGTGAAGGGTCAACAGAAGATCCCATTCAGTACAAAGCAGGTAGCACCTACCAGCCCTCAGTGAGTTTCTTAAAATGAGTAAAGTTATTTTAAAACGACGTCAATGTCATCCAAAACAAGTGTGAGTTAGCTAACTGCTGTGTTAGCTAGCTTTGTGTACATGTTCCTTCATGTCCTCACCCAACGCTAGCGTTCAAGCGGCGTTTAGCTGACCAGCTGCTGCTAGCTGGCAGGCTAACGCTTCAATAACAACATTGGCCGAGACTGTGCAAACAAAAGCGCGTTTGACCCTCAGAGACAAAATAGCAATTGAGAGAATATAAAGATTCACTGAACATCGACGAACAAATTCAGCTCCGTTCTGTATCAAATCGTTTTAAACAGGACAGACGCCCGACTCGTGCGAATAACAACATGTCCAGAACAAGCCCGTGTTAGCAGTTAGCGTTAGCCGCTCCGCTTCAGACGCTTCCGCGTTGATGAAACGCACTTGAGTTACACAACTTGTCCGCCTTTACTGTGAGCTAACAGCGTGCACACACCGCTCACAACAACACCGTGCACCCAGCCACGGCTCTGGCGTTACCTGTGGCCACGAACAGCAGCGTTAGAGGCAGCATGACTGCGCTGTTTCTCGGGTGTTTCTGTCGCTCCGCGGGTTGAAGATGACTCGGGGAGATGTGATCACTGCAATGCAGGCGGCGGAGAGGCGTGATGCCTTTATGGCGTCTCACAGTCAGCTGACTGCTCGACCATGTGACCGAGTGATCTCATCACTCGCCATCAGACGCCGATACTCTTTCAAAACTTCGAATGCCGTTATACAAACTCCGCCGTGTCACTTCAACTAACAGGTTGCATTCATGAGGTTTGACTTAGATGTCGAATGGATTCGTATATTCTAACAGCTTTGTGTTTCTACACTGAACACTGGGATTTTTACTTTGCAAAACAATGGTGGCTGCACATCTGACTGTTCGTTATATCAGCTTTTCGCAGCATCTGAATAAATAAATAAATGATCAAGATTAATTGCTAATTTCAACAGATTTGACAAAATAAATATATGAAATACTAATGATATGGGCATTATTGTTTGTTTGGATCAAAGTATACACAGATATTAAGATTTATATACGGTCTCTGCATGATATGTGGCCAAGCACAGGTAAACAACACTAATGCCATTCCAGCCAAGTAGGCCCCTGTATAGCATCGTTAACCCTGACCTCTTATAATCTAACAGGGCTTTTTACTGTGATCAGGTGAGGGCAACTGACCCACATTTGGCAGCATCATGGCCTTGTCTTACAGAACCTTGTCAGATGACAGTGAACAAGGTTTTATGGGATCAGGCAGGTGAACTTTCCATCTAAAGGTTGTCAAGCAGCACACCTTCAAACCCACTATTGGTGATTTCATAATGTGACAACTCAATTTTAGTGGTAAATCAAATGTTTTTTCATACATGAATAATCCAGGATTCAACGAAATTGTTGGAAAAAAACCCTCTTGTGCAATGTAAAAGAAGGTTAAAAAAAAAAAAATCCTGCATCCACTCCCTGATCCAGATCACCACCTAATTTCACAGGTTCGTCCTTGGGTCATGCCCCACACTTCCTCAAAATGTAATGGAAATGACTGAAAATGAAACCTATCACATTACTGAACATCACATGAAGCACAATGTCTAAAAGGAAGTCATGAAAAACTCAAAAGCATAAGTGAAAAAAGAGTAATTTATTATAACATTCTAATGCAGATATTCAACTAAGAAAAGGTCAAAGATGGAAGCATCACACTGTGTGTCTTCTGGAGACGAGCAGTGAATACCTGAAAAACAAAGGGAATGACGTTACATGGGGTTAAGATACAGCAGTCAGCACAGCATGGGCTCCATAAACAGAAGATTGAGGAAACAGACTGCATGAAGGTTGTCAGTGACGACCTGTGTTGGTTAAAGAACTGTGACAATAATGTGCACTGATCATGACATTAAAAACTGAAAAATAAACTTGTCACTGCTCTCTGGTGGACAAACTCTACAACGTGTCAATTTCTTGTCAACCAAATGAAACCAAAATCAAAATCCCTGACGAATGCCAACATATCACTCTGGCTCCACTGCATTTGCAACAAAAACATTCATATTATCACTGACCAAATGTGTATTTCCAACACTGGTGGTGCGGTAAGTCTGTATTATGTAAGCTCTCCTATTTTTAGACAATTATTCATCTGTGTTAATGACAAAGAGGCCAGCACCTTTAAATCATACAGTTATATACGTTAATGAGCTCTAGCTGCTACTTATATAAGTAATGCAGTACGTATTATATAAGCACTCCACTTTATGCTTCCTATAGGTTCCTCTGAACAGTGACCTGATTTACAGGTTTCAGGTTCAAGCTGACTTTAACATACAAGAAGACAGAGCACCACAGCTAACAGCAGGGCATCAATATCATAATATCAATATAGATCCATACTTTTGAAAGGGTCTTATTACAACTTTGCAAATCTTAACATTAAATAGTAATTGATTCATCATTTTACAACATGGGAATCAGTTTTATAGTTTTGGGACATCACCTCTGGTTACAGCATTTAAACCAACAGATTAATCGATCGTACTACACGATTCGGCTTAGACCAAATCCACAATCTGTTGGTTAATAATAAACACAGTTAATACAGCTGTTCATTTACACCCTCTTTTTTTTTTTTTAGGCACAACTTTGCTGCCTAATATCTTCCATAATGGATCCATAAAGCAGCCAAGAACAATATATAATATGATGGTGTATCAAAATAATGTATGTAGGGCTCTAGCTCCTTGTAATGAATTTGTTTGCATTAAGTTTATCAACTAGAACTAAATTCAACAAACAAAAATCGGAAATGTCACAGCAACACAAATGCAATGACATTTGTTGATCGTATTGGTTTCATATGTTTGACAAAAACAATCCTGAGGTTTGGGAGAATTGTGCACACATGAGAGCATGACTCCTGCTCATACACCAGCTGAGGGTTTCATTCATCAGAAGCATGGTGCTGCTGCACTTTATCCACACCTGTCACTCCTTCCTGACACTCAGTCACTGTTTGGGGCCGCAGCAGCTGCTGCCTGGAGCCTGGTCGTCCTTCTTCAGCACGGTGGGCCTCACCACGTCCACATCCCTCTGCAGGTGATTCAAGACGCCAGGGAGGATGTCGGGGGCCGCGTAGAAGTCGAGCAGAAAGTACGAGCCCCGGGTGTGCCTCTCGTTGTGCTTGGTGATCTTGTAGGGCAGCAGTCTCTCTCCCAGGTTCTCCAGTCCCCTCACCACTGCGCCACGCTCCATTAGACTCTCCACAGTCCGCCGCAGAGCTGCCGCCGTCTCCGGCCGCTGCATCGCCTTCAGGATCAGGGCCAGCTCGTAGCGAGGCATGGCTCCAGAGAAGTGGTCCCTCAAATCACACGCGTTTAACTCCGCCGGCTCTGGATCTCTGTCATCACCTGGTTATTCCTCTGCGAAGACGACCATGTTGAAACATGAGGGACAAGGAAGGTCTTCCGTGATGACGTATAAAGCATGCGCCGCACGACAGGACTCCACTCCTCTATCTAGGGAAGAACACGTCCTGATGTCTCAGCTTTCTGTTCCATCTAAAGCTAAAGACGTGCACTTTATAACAATCCATTATATTTACCCCTGTAACGAATGTTTGAGACTCGTGTTCAGTGTTGATCCTCTTTACTGTGCATTTAGTAAAACAAATAGAAACATTACAGAACATGTAATGTTTTCTTAATGTCTCCACCGTTTTGATTTTCACAATTGGGTATAAAATAACAACTTGTGTTTTTTTATGGTGAATTATTTTTGGTCTCATAATGGATGACAGAAATGTATATAGTAATCATTTGATAACACTCGACAAGTTTTTTTGTGCACAAATGTAATTTATGAAAGAGCCACCCCAAAATAAAGTATATTTTAAAATAACATTTACTTTATTTTTTTAAATTTTATTTTACTTTTGAGTTGCCCCACTTATTTTATGTTTTTGTACATTCATTTATTTAGTGTTTTATGATTATTATTATTATTTCTCTTCAATTTATTTATTTTCTTTTTAAAATGAGGATCGTTACATAATATGTGGCGTTAAACCAGTAAAACTTTAAATGTACTCGTTATGATCCTGTGATTTAATTAACCAACACATGCGACACAGTTCACACCAGAGGAGAGTGAGCAAGAAAAAGAGGTCTCACTCTGACTCGTTTTCCTGACGCCACCGGACGGAAATGATTTCCACTGAAAAGCTGAATCATCATAAACCATTAAACCATTATCTAAAGAGATTCGTGTTTATTCTGGATTATTTATATTCAAGTCACCTGACGGTTAAATGAACGCATGAATCCTCTTCAGAAACTGTGTGATTTCTCTTAGCGGAGTGAACCATCTCAAGTCTCGAGGAGTGTGTCCACGGCATCATTATGCGCCGGAGCTCCGCACACTTCTTTCCTTCCAGAAAGAGCGTGGTAAAGATGGCGGAGAAGAGCTCGGTGCCGAGTGATCTCTACAAGTGCGTTTATTCATTTCTACGGGAAAACAAGTTCACCAGGGCGGCGCAGCAGTTCCTGAAGCAGACCCAAGTGGTAAGCAGCCACTGTTGTGCGGTTCGCAGACGCGTGGAAGCGCTGTCTCCTCCGCCGGTGTCGGAAGGGAAAGTAGTCCAGACATGTCGCACGAGGAGGCTGCGGATACGGATCGAGTCAGCACGTGGAGGCTCTCACCTGCACACCGTGTGTCAGCGGCCTCTTGTTGTTTATCATCGGCCGATTAATGTTTCAGATAATCACTAATGAAGATCAATGTATTCTGTTGTGCTCTGCAGGAGAAAGTCAAGGTACACAATGTACTAGTTAAATACTTCACGTGTTTTCTCCACAGACTCCCCAAGACGAAAATGAGGAAAACCTCGTCAACATCTACAACTTCTGGGTGAAGTGAGTGCTTGATTTTCTCGACAGTTTTCCAATGTTTTCTCTTTATTATCTCGAGGTTCTTCAAATGATATTAACACTCATTGATTACTCTTCCTAGGTCTCCTGAATCCAAGAAACGAAAAGCGCCTCCTACCAAGGCTGAAGCTGGCGACGGTCCATCGTCCAAGAAAGCAAAGCCAAGTACAGAGTCCTCCAGCAGCGAAGAGTCGAGCAGCGAGGATGAAGAAGCTGCTGCAAAACCAGCTAAGGCAGCCGCTGCAGGTAAGATCACGAAGGCTGGTGGATTCTGCGTGAAACGTGGCTTTTAGAAATCATTTGCAGTATCAGATTCCATGTCGTGTTTGTTTTAGCAGCTAAAGTGGTCCCTGCTAAAGCAGCAGCTGCTAAAGCAGCAGCTGCTAAAGCTGCATCCAGCAGCAGTGAAGACTCCAGTGACTCTGAGGAGGAGAAGGCTCCTGTAAAGGTTGGAGGAAACATCCATACTGAAGATATAACATTTAACCCATTGATGCTGGTTTTAAATATTCTTTGTGCTTATAGGCTCCTGTGAAGAAGGCTGCTGCTGTGAAGAAGGTTGTTGCTGCTCCTGCTGCGAAGAAGGTTGTTGCTGCTCCTGCTGCAGGTGGCACAAGGAAGAAAGACAGCAGCTCAAGCAGCGAAGAGTCCGACTCTGAGGAGGAGGAGCCGGCTAAAGCCCCTGCACCAAGTGAGTTTATTGCCACTGCCATTAATTCTCAACACTGCAACTTTAATTGGAGCCAAAATGCAGCTGATGAAAATGTTTTATCTAATTTGCCTCATCTAACTCTGGATAATAGAACCCAAGCCGGGTGCCGTCACTACATCTAAACCTGCTGCTCCTGCTAAAGGTGCAGGTCAGAAAAAACAGGAGAGCACCAGTGAAGACAGTTCCTCAGATTCTGAAGCTGAAGAACCAGCAAAGGTATCCCAGAGAATCTGGTCATATCTTAATATTACATAGTGTTAATTGTATTTTTGAGTCAGTGCTCAATCAAACACTGATGGATGTTATTGATTATTGTAGACACAGCAGACTTTAACTGCTTACGTCATGTGTCCTGATAGGCTCCAGCCAAACCCACCCCAGTAAAAGCTGCTGCTGCAGCCGAATCAACCAGTGAAGACTCTTCATCCGAAGATGAGGCTCCTCCCAGTAAAAAACCCAAAGCAGGTGTGTTTATGTTTACCTTGTTGAGGAATTCCTTCCTTCTGTCTTTCGTTCATTTAGTTTTTTTGCTGTTCAGTCCAAAAATGTGAATGACAGTTGCTAGCGCCATCGTATAATTTTGATAACCCCCCCTTCACAAATACAGCCCATTCCTCCCCAAGCCTGATTTGTTCCTCCATGGTCTTTTCTGGCCACCACGTGTCTCTTAAGACGAATTTGTCAAGAACTCATCCCCTTGTCCAACCCGAAATAATAATTCATGAAAATACTAAACTGTCCTGAGGCCCCGTCTTATGTCATGATGTTGATTGAATTCCTCTGCCCTTTTAGGAGCATACAGCGCCGTACCACCTCCTGCATCAGTCCAGAAAGCACCAGCCGCACCGGCTGCCAGCAAGGCCAAGGACAGCGACTCCTCAGACAGCAGTGATGACAGCAGTGATGAGGAAGAAGAGAAGAAAGTGGCTGGTAAGAAGTGACCACCTTTTACAGCATGTTACAACCGTCAGTGTTTTTAATACGTGTCTAACAACACTGTCATCCTCACAGCAAAACCTGCCCCAGTTAAGACCCCTGCTGTCAAACCTGCCGCGGCCAAACCTGCTGCAAAGAAGCAGGAATCCAGCTCAGAGAGCTCAGGTAATGATTGGAAAATGGGATGGCCGCTTTTTACTTTTTGCTGACCTGATGACCAACGTGCGACAAACATTCTTCTTTATTCCAATGGTATTTCTAGATTCAAGCTCAGAAGAAGAGGCAAAGAAGACCCCAGCCAAAGTCACCCCAGCTAAAGCAGCCCCAGCCAAAGCAGCCCCAGCTAAAGCAGCCCCAGCTAAAGCAGCCCCAGCTAAAGCAGCCCCAGCCAAAGCAGCCCCAGCCAAAGCAGCCCCAGCCAAAGCTGCACCTGCTAAGAAGCAAGATTCAGACTCTGAATCATCAAGTTCAGAGGATGAAGAAGAGGTGAAGAAACCTGCTGCAAAGGTGACCCCTGCTAAGGCTACACCGGCTAAGGCTACACCGGCTAAGGCTACACCGGCTAAGGCTACACCGGCTAAAGCTACACCTGCCAAGACTCCCCCAGCTAAAAAGGAGGAGTCCTCAAGCTCAGGTAACAGATGCCGAAATAAAGCATGCATAATTTTAAGAATGATGCATGTTTGCTGTCATTTTGTAAATCTTGTCTCTGGCTTTTTGGGACAAAGGCCAGAAATTTTGTTGGTTGAGATTATATATAATTATTTTCTGGCACAGGCATTCATGTTTTTGTAAAAATCGTTCTGAAGGTTTTTCTTGTATCTTAGATTCAGATAGCAGCTCTGAAGATGAGGCTCCTTCAAAACCTGCCGCGAAAACTGCAGCCCCACCGAAACCTGCTGCTGCTTCCAAAGCCCCCACCAAGAAAGCTGAGAGCAGCTCTGATTCAGAGGACTCATCCGAAGATGAGGAAGAAGCAGTTAAAGCCAAACCCAAAGCAACTAAATCAACGACCCCAGCCTCAAAGCCTGCTACGCCTGCAGCTAAGACCCCTGCTGCAGCAGAGAGTAGCTCAGACTCTGACTCATCCTCTGAGGAAGAAGAAGAAACGGTCAAGTCTAAGCCTGCAGCAACTAAACTAGCTACCCCTGCTTCAAAGCCTGCCACTCCTGCTACAAAGCCTGCTGCTGCAGCAGAGAGCAGTTCTGACTCTGACTCCTCTGAGGAAGAAGAACCAGCTAAAGCTAAGCCTGCTACCCCTGCTTCAAAGCC